TGAGGATATTGTTATAATAGGTATCACAGAAACTTGATACATTGGTGGAATGAGGATAATCAATGGGACATAGTTATACCAGGGTACAAAATATATCAGAAGGTTAGAACAGGTTGTGCTGGTGTGGGAGTGGCACTATGTATGAAAGAAAGAGTAGAATCAAATAAAGTGAAGTGTTCCATAGAATCTCTATGGATAGTAATTCCATGCTCTAATAATATGAATATATCAGTAGGGATATATTACTGACCACCTGACCAGGTGATAGTGACTGTGAAGTACTAAGGGAGATTGGAGAGGCTGTAAACCTTAAAAAACTCGATAATAATGGGGGATTTCAACTATCCCCACATTGACTGGATATATGTCACCTCAGGACAGGATGCAGAGATAAAGTTTTGCTTCTTGGAGCCGCTTGTTCTGGAATCCACAAAAGGAGAAGCAATTCTTGATTTAGTCATAAGTGAAGCATAGAATCTGGTCCAAGAAGTGAGTATAGCTGGACTGCCTGGAAATAGTGACCATAATATCATTAAATTGAATATCCCTATGGTGGGAAAAACACCACAGCAGCCCAACACTGTGTCATTTAATTTCAGAAAGATGAACTACTAAAAAATAAAGAGGTGAGTTAAACAGAAATTAAAAGTTATGGTGCCAAAAGTAAAATTAATGCAAATAGCATGGAAACTTTTTAAAGATATTATAATAGAGGCTTAACTTAAATGTACACCCCAAATTAAAAAAACATAGTAAGAGAACCAAAAAAGTGCCACTGGAATTATATCAGAATCAGGAAGCCTGCTAAGCAACCAGTGAACCACTGGACAATTGAGATGCTAGAGGAGAACTCAAGGACGATACTCAAGGACAGTCATTGAGGAGAAACAAAATGAATTAATTCTTTCACGGCTAAGGATGTGAGGGAGATTCCCAAACCTGAGCCATTCTTTTAGGTGACAAATCTGAGAAACTGTTCCAAATGAGGTGTCAGTAGGGGAGATTTTGGAACAAACTGATAAACTAAACAGTAATAAGTCACCAGGGCCAGATGGTATTCACTCAAGAGTTCTGAAAGAATTCAGATGTGAAATTTCAGAAATATTAACTGAAGTTTTTAACCCATCCTTTAAATAATCTTCTATATCAAATGACTGGAGGATAGCTAATGTGATGCCAATTTTTAAAAATGCCTCTACAGGTGATCCGGGAAATTACAGGCTTGTAAGTCTAACTTCAGTGACAGCCTGCTCCCCGCGCTGCTCGCTGCCTGGGGGCGGGGCCGGGTGCCCGCTGAATCCCCCCTGTGCCCGGGGGGGGATGCTCTGGCCCTGGCTGCCCGCAGTGCCGCCCAGTGCCCGGCTGTGCCTCCTGCAGAGGCCGAGAGCGTCCTGGGTGGGGGCGTGTGGGGAGAGGGGGGGAGTGGCTGAGAATTGGGGGGCAAACAGGGGACAGACAAACCAACCGACAGAAAAGCCTCCCTGCCTGGCCCCCAGCTGAGCGGAGAAACGTCCCCCTGGCGCCAGAGCACTGCAGGGCCCAGCCTAGTCGCTTTGTGCGCTCCAGCCCCACGGCGTGGGGAGGGGGCGACGGTGGAGGAGCCCCACGCACCCAGGCCTTAGGTTCCCCACCCGCCTTCTAAGCACTGAGCATTTTAGGCCTGGCTGGACTAGAGAAGGGGGCACCAGGGGAGTTGCCGCTGAAGGCGCGCGGCCGCGCACAAACACCCCTCTGCCGCCCACCTCCCTTGCGGAGCCTTGCAGCGGCACTCGCCTTCCTGCTGGCCGGGGAATGGCGCGGTTGTTTTCCTGATCTGGTGGGGGGCGGCTGCCCCGTTGTGTCCCTGCTGGGGCAGCCTCGCCCCACCTCCAGCTGCGATTGGGGCTTCTGTTTGTTTCTGTTCATACAGTTTGCTGCAGTTTTCCATCCCGGAGGACCTGCGTGAAGGTGGTCCGACCAGAGATACGGGGATCGATTTTTAAGAGTAAGAGGTTTTGTTTTTAAAGCAGGGGTGAGGAACCTAATACCCCAGCTCACGTGAGTGTGGCCCTCGAGACTCAAGGTTCCCACACTAACGCTCTAGCTCCCCTCCAGATTGGTGATAGAAATGTAGCCGTGTTAGTCTGGGGTAGTTGAAGCAAAATGCAGGACAATGTAGCACTTTAAAGACTAACAAGATGGTTTATTAGATGATGAGCTTTCGTGGGCCAGACCCACTTCCTCAGATCAAATAGTGGAAGAAAATAGTCACAACCATATATGCCATATATGGTTTTTATTTATTATGGTATATATGGTTGTGACTATTTTCTTCCACTATTTGATCTGAGGAAGTGGGTCTGGCCCACGAAAGCTCATCATCTAATAAACCATCTTGTTAGTCTTTAAAGTGCTACATTGTCCTGCATTTTGCTTCAGCAAATTGATTGAAATTGTAGTAAAGAACAAAATTGTCTGACACATATAAACATCATTTTCTGTAAATGGAAATCATGCCCCACTAATCTATTAGAATTCTTTGAGCGGGGGTGGGGGGGTCAACAAGCATGTGGAGAAGGAGAACCAGTGGATATCGATTTCCAGAAAACCTTTCACAAGGTTCTGCACCAAAGGCTCTTAAGCAAAGTACGCTGTCATGTAATAAGAGGGACGGTCATCTCATGAATTGATAACTGGTTAAAAGACAGTTTTCAGAATGGAGAGAGGTAACTTGTGGTTTCTCCCAAGGGTCAATACAGGGACCAATTCTATTTAACATTCATAAATTATCTTGAGAATGGGGTAAACAGTGAGGTGGCAAAATTTGAAGATACTAAAGTGCTCAAGATAGCTAAGTCCAAAGCAGACTGTGAAGAGCTTCAAAAGGATCTCATAAAACTAGGTGACTGGGTAACAAAATGGAAGATTAATTTTAACATTGGTAAATGCAAAGTAATGCATATTGGAAAACAACTCAGGCGAAAGCTCTTGGAGTCATTGTAGATAGTTCTCTGAAAACATCCACTCAATGTGCAGCAGCAGTAAAAAAATGCTTGGAATCATTAAGAAAGGGATAGAGAATAAGACAGAGAATATCTTATTGCTTCTATATAAATTCATGATACACCCACATTTTGAATATTGCATGCAGATGTGATCACTTCACCTCAAAAAAAGATATCTTGGCACTAGAAAAAGTTCAGGAAAGAGCAACAAAGGGGTATGGAATATTAATAAGACTGACACTTTTCAGCTTGAAAAGAGACTACTAAAGGAGGATATGATAAGGTGTGGGAAAAGGGGGAATAAAGAAGAGTGATTTTCTCCTTCCCATAACACAAGAACTAATGGATCACCAAATAAAATTAGCAGATAGCAGGTTTAAAACAAACGAAAGTATTTCTTCACACAATGGGCAGTCAACCTGTGGAACTCCTTGCCAAAGGATGTTATGATTATCAGGACTTGAAAAGTGTTCAAAAAAGAGATAAATGCATGAAGGATAGGCCCCTATTAGCCAGGATGGGCAGAAATGGTGTCCCTAGACTATTTGTCTGAAGCTGGGAATGGGAAACAAGGGATTGATCCCTTGATTACTGTTCTGTTCATTCTCTCTGGGACACCTGGCATTGGCCACTATTGGAAGACAGGATATTAGACTAGATGGACCTTTGGTCTGACCCAGTATGGCCGTTCTTCTCAGTGAGTAGGGTTTCATAGTAAAAGAGTTCACTGAAAGAGTGAGTTCTTCCATTATTTGTTCCTAATTCCATCAGAAATGCATTTCATGTTAGTTTTCTTTAACTGTTATGTTGGTTCTCTTTATAAAAATGGAGTCATCATGTCATACCTTTGCTGCACCTACTTTCAGACTGAAATGTGGAGAATTACTTTATTGAACTCGATTCCCTCATATAGGATAAGAGGTTGTTCCAGTATTGTGAGTCTTAACTCCTTTATAAACCAATCTTTGATAATATGTCTAATGAAGTGGTCTCCAACCTTTTTAAGCACAAAATCACTTCTTGAATTTAATTGCAATCCAGCATCTACCTCAAACAAAATACACTTGCCCCCCACCCCCCACGTCCTACCCCTTCTCTGAGGCACTGTCTCTCTGAGGTCATGCCCTGCTCACTCCATCCCCATTTACTTTCATGAGTTGGGGAAAGGGAGTGGCATGCAGTGAGTTGCAGACTCTGGTCTTTGGCTGAAGGGTTTGGAATGTGGTAGGGGCTCCAGGCTGAGCCTGGGGCAAGAGTTTGGGCTGCAGGCTCTAGGAGGGAATTTGTATACAGGTGGGGCTCAGGGCTGGAGGGCAAGTTCAGGATTCATTTTCTGGCTGAGCACTGTTTACCTCAGGTGGCTCCTGGGCAGTGGTGCAATGGGACTAAGGCAGGCTCATGCCGTCCCTCCACCACTCCTGAAAGTGACTGGCATGTCCAGAAGTGGCTCCGGGGGGAAGGAAAAGGCAGGTGGCTCTGTGCGCTGTCCCCCATTCACAGATATCACACGTCTCATTTGCCATGGTTCCCTGTTCCCAACTAATGGGAACTATGGAATTGATGCTGGCAGGAAAGGGCATCATGTGGTGACTATGCAACCATCTCTCCCAGGGGCCGCAGAGATGTGCCAGCCACTTCCAGGAGAATGACAGATTCACATAGCTCCTTTAAGTGTGATGAGCACGTTCAGACATAGGAGCAGCTGCCAACAAGCTCCTTGCATCCTGATCCCTGTCGTGTCTCCCCTCTTTGTGCAGATGGGGTACAGGGGTAGGGGATGTGAGACCCCTCTGACATCAGTGACCCTTTCCTCTCCCTTTCCCACCCTGAACAGCAAGCAGGAGGCTCCTGAGGGCAGCTCCAAGGCAGAAGGCAGGAGTAGCACAGCAGTGCGGGGAGGCAGAGCTGACGTGCCAGCACTTGGTAGCCACCTGGCCAAACCAGTTAGAATCTCCTGTCAGAGGCTCCAGGATCTACCAATAGATCCCAGTCTACAGATTGGTGATGACTGGTCTAATGTGTAACTACTTGCTACTTGCAACTACTTGCTTGTTGGGAAAGTTTCACTGTAACAAAACTGGAAAAATAAGTTGAATTTCATCATTGTTGTTTTGCTTTTGGTTTCATGAATTACTTTGTGATGTTTGTCTTTTCCAGGACATCCATGAACTGTTCAAAGATTATGAAATAAAGTACTGTTATGTGGACAAAAATAAAAGAACAGGTAAGAATTTAGAAATATTCCAGTAACTAAGATTGTATGTTTAACGGTAACATATTTGAATTCTGATAGAACTGATAGTGAATTTCTTCTGTCACATATGAAGTCAGATTGCTCTCTACCTTCACTATTCCTAGACTTGTTTTTTGGCTGCATAAATTTTGGCCATTTCTAACTCTCCATTAATGTCAATTAATGTAAAATGGAAAGCTTCATATGGCTTTCAATGGGAGGTAGTTTGGATTCATTATCTGTGAATTTATATGTATGGCCCCATAAGAAATGCACCCTTCTGAGATGGTTGCTTAATTCACAGAATGACTGATACATTGGTCTCTGCTAGGAAAAGCCCCTCGTACCAGAATCACTGTGCAACAGAGGGGCTATTCCAGGTCTAGAGTTAGGGTTTCCAGATTCAATAAAACAGAGAACAGATATTCTCAATCAAAGAACTGAGGGGAATTATAAAGCTTTTAAGGGTGATATTCATTTTGAAAACTCTGTCAGTGCTGGCTTTGCTTTACATCTCCCAGGGATCTTTGCTAAGATAATGGTGTTTTTGGCTGCTGCTCTTAGCAAGTATGGTGTGTGTTTGTGCAGCATTCTCTTAATTATTTGCACTACTTCAGGATTGCCAGATTTGAGAACAAGTGCTGCAGAACGCTTGAGTGTCAGTAGTCCTGTCTTTCACTGTTTTATTTTCTAGGCATTGTTTTGAAATCCTACTTGTTGAAGCTGTTATGGAAAGAACTCTTTCATCTTACTATTCATTCTGGTTCCTCCAAATCCTATGTCAGCTCAGAATTACCAATCAGAAGAATATTTTTCCTCTGCACTTCTGCAGCCAGATAATCTAGTTAGTTTTAGCTGCTGATTTTCCCCCCTCTGACTGTAATTCTTACTAAAGTTTAAGTGGAGGATTGGCAGCCAGCAGGACTCTCTTTTCCAGCTATCTTGAGCTCTTCTTTAATAGCTCTTTTGTGTCTTGTTGTATGGAATTTTTGAAGAGATCTCGTATTTTTACCATTTAGAACCATGGTATCCAACCAGTTCTGCTAGTGGCTACTGCTATAGCAAACTAGTCACACTCAACCAGCCAAATAGCCACATTGTGCAAGCCAACCCACCACGAGTTTAGAAGATGATCATTGCAGTGAGATATAAATGAGCTTAATGTACACAAAAATCAGTTAAAAATTAGTTTTCCCCTAAATAAACTCCTTCAGCATTTCTGTAAGGGCTATTTTTAAAGGCATAAAATCCAAAAAAACTTACATTTGCTTATATGAGCAGTATTTGCATTTGTCAACACTCTTATGTACACTTGGGCCTTTGTGCAGTTTATCACATACCTCTTAGAAAATGTTGGCCCTGACCTTCCATTCATATGACAGAGACATTGGGGACTTGCCTCCTTGGTGGAAGACCTGAGGTATCCCAGAAAAACTGCCGCATCCAGGGAATGCATCTACTCTTCTGACATTTTTTGTGAAAGAGCAGACACGCTGTTTCGGAAGCCCCTTCTTCCTCTTGCCTGTGCATTTTATGAGGAAGAAGGGCTTTTCCAAAAGAGGAGGTTTTTCTGACATTTGGCCCAGTGTAGATGGGCCAAATTTCAGAAAAGCCTCATTGGACAAAACTATTGCAGAGTGCAATTTGCGTACCTTTTTCTGATAAAACTCTATAGTCTAGACATAGCCTGAGTTACTTGACTCTTTCAGGGTCAGGTTTCTTAAATTGCAGAATATTTTGCTCATGTCAGTAACTTTAGCTTGCAGAATCAGCAAGTAGTTCGGTCCTGGGAATATTCTGAAATTGTTGCATTTGGAGCCATAGTAAAATTGCAGAATTCCCCCAGGACACATAGTTGTTAACATCCATAGGGTTTTATGTTTACTCACCTTTAATTGTGCAACTAAATGAGTATTGGCACATCAGAGAACCTTCATCTAAATCATTAGTATTTCCTCTCTCTCCAAAATTATTCAAAATTGGAGTATACCAACATGTGCATTATTTGTATGGTAAAAATCCCATTTATCCAAAATCATTTTTGTCCAGATGAATTGAATGTTCTCAGTTTAATTCAGACAAATGGAGTTCTGTGGAGTTATATAACCATTTAAATCATAAGCTCTGTCCTGTAAGAGCTTTCCTTCTCTGCGTGAAAACTATAATTACAATTAATCTTCAAATTTCTGCCTTGGTTTTTCTTTATATTGCCTATTTTCTATTCAGTTTCAAATTTGTTTGTTTAGTCAGATAACAGAAGAATAACCAAGTGAACAAAAAATAATTGAACACTATTTTGTGCTCTAGAATTCCACAGACTCATATTCCATTTGTCTATGTTTTCTGAGCTATTATTTCTAATATCAAATATCATTCTTCTGGAAAAAGGTCGTAAATACGGAGGCTGTGCAATAGTCTAGCTTAACCATGCTATCTCTTTCAGAACCTAAATGACCTCTTTTTCATTTGTCATTTTCATTTGTGAATCACCATATATTTTGAATTGTTACTGTTTGTTAAATCAGCTAGGATATATATTCTATATATACTCACACAAACACACAGGATAATTGTATACAAGAGATCTGGTAATGTATACCTTGCAAAGGAGCAGAACTGAGGCCTTAGCTGTTTTAATGTTTGTTGATAAAATGTGTGCTCTGTGCTGTTGGCTTTATAAACTGAATAAGACAGCCATGACATGATTTAAAATTAACTTTAAAATGTTGTGTGGATACTCATATTTTACTTAGAAACTTTACTTTAGTCTATTTTTTAACCTCTGATTTTTCAAGAAAGAAAGAAAATACTACTATTCAGGAGCAAATATGCAGTCACCTGTACTCACCTTGCTCTCTTGCCTATGCATTGGTATTAGAAACAGATGATTAATAGGTTATCTGGAAAAAATATATTTTCTGATTTAAATAGTAAGCTTGCAACCTGGAGTTCAATTTCATGAAAGGATTGTATTGAAATGTGATGAATCAGCAAAAAAAAAGACGTTATGGTACACTTGACAACAAATTTGCCAAGAGATGCAATATGATGATTCATCAGATGACAGAGTGTTGCCAAAACTGCTGTGAAAATTTTGTAAGTAACAGCGATGGGACATATGCTTTATAGCAATGAATTCCATACTATTTAAACTTCAGAATAGCCAATATTGCATTTTTTTTGTCCCTAAACTCTTCTTACAGACTAAATAGATACAGACTGAGGAAAGAGCATTCTCATTGCTTGTTGATGGGCAAATTTTGTTGGGTGTTAGGAAAACATGGTTGTCCTGCATTTCAGGCTGTGGTTTAAAGACACTTATCTCCTTTTGCCTTTTGACCATTGTGACAGATTTTATTCTTTCTTTTTTAGTGTGTCACTCATTTAAGGGTACATCTACACTGCATGGCTATTTCGAAATAAGCTATTCTGGAATACTTATTCGAAAATAGCTTATTTCGAAATAGAACGTCTACACAGCAGGGAAGCCTCAAAATTAGCCTGAGGCAGGCTTCCCTAGTGTAGACATGCTATCTTGATTTAGAGCCCCAGGAGGCACTGGGAAGGAATAACCTTGTGAGGGGCTATTTTGAAATAGCAACAGTGGAGCATCTACACACACCTTATTTCGAAATAGCTATTTCGGAATAGGCATTATTCCTCATAGAATGAGGTTTACAGATTTTGGAATAAGCCTTCTGTTATTTCAAAATTATTTTGAAATAATGGAACAGTTGTGTAGACGCTAACATTGTTATTTTGAAATATCATTAGTTATCTCAAAATAACGGTTCACCCTGAGTGTGATGACTAACTTAAATTAAAATACCACTAGCTGTTTTTCTGAGATTGCCACACTTCATTTTAAATTCAAACAAAAAATGTGAAATGAGATATTATTCAAAATTCCCATTAAATCTGAAATCTATATCTGATCATGCAGAATGATACCTAGTCTTCTAGTAGCACTTACTATTTCCTTTGAGTACTTAATCTGACTGTGTCCATGGATATATTCTATCTTCCATTAAAGAATAGTGTAATGGGCCTGGAATGTAACTACACTTGAGCAATTCAGCTGTATCTGCAGCAGGGATTTCATATGCCTTGCTATGTGGGTTTTTTTAGATTAAATTCATTATGGAAAACTCACATTCTGAAGTGCTACAAGACATAACCAGGATTTACCAAAAGAATAGTGGATAAAAGCTTGGGTAAACAGGTATGTGTATTGTCATATGTTGTGCATTGAAGAGTAATTTTAGATACAACACGGATATATGTCTCTCTCCTTTTCCTTCAAACTCAAAAAGTGGTCTAGGACAGTGGTTCTCAACCTTTCCAGACTACTGTTTCCCCTTCAGCATGAGTGGTCGGTGCAGCTAGGTGCAGCCTGCCTCCCCCAGCCCCTACATCTCCGTCCCCTCTGCTGAGCCCCCCATCACCACCACCACAGTGAGGGGAGGAGAGGAGAGGAAGCTACTGGACACCCTTTAGGAATTTAACTGGTCTTGCATATCCCCCAATTTTCACCTCACTTAAAAACTACTTCCTTACAGAAACAGACATAAAAATACAAAAGTGTTGCAGCATACGATTACTTAAAAATTGATTTATGTTCTGATTTTTACCATACAACAATAAATCAATTGGAATATAAATATTGTACTTACATTTCATTGTATAACATAGAGCAGTATAAACAAGTCATTGTATGAAATGTTGGCTTATGCAGGCTGAATCTCTAAAATCTAGGACTCTGGTCTGGCAACAGCCATGGGTCAGAGAACCCTGATGGCTGGGCATCGAGTGGCAAGAGGGCTTGCAACTAGGAGTCTGATCAAGGGCTGGTGGCAGTAGCAGAACCAGCGCTCTGGCTGGAGCTGACGGCAGCATCCTGGCCTGGGCCAGTGTTGGCAGCAGGACCCAGATCCTGGCTGGGGCTGGTGGTGGCATCTGACTGGGGCTCAGAACCCAGCTGGGGTGGTCAGCTCGAGGCTGGCCACCCAGATGGGGCTGGCGGCAGCAGCAGGACAGCTCGAGTGGGGGCAGAGGCCAGGGCAGGGGGTGCAGCTGGGGTCGGGGTCAGGATCAGAGTCAGGCAGGGCGGCCAGGGCAGGGGGTGCAGCTGGGGTCAGGAGCAGTGTCAGGCAGGGGGCCACAATTGATCTCCCCTTGTCCAGCAGTCAGAGGGTGCCAGTCTATGGAGGTCCAACCTGTACTAACTTCACTAATGCTTTTTATGTAGCCTGTTGTAAAATTAAGCAAGTATCTGGATGAGTTGATTTATCCCTACAAGACCTCTGCGTACTCCTGGTTGAGAACCATGGGCCTGGAAAACGGTGATTTATGCAGTGCCATAGTGAACTAAGTCATTTTAATAACTATGCTGCTTTGAAGTCAAGTGTCAGTATTAATAATGGTGATTACTGTAGTCTGGTGAATCTATCATCTGTATTTTAAATGACAATTTAACACACAGATCTGAGTTGTCTGCACATTTGCCTCTGCCTCTAAAAGCTCAGAAATTTGTACCTTCATGTCTGTTATCCCCATCAGACTGAAAAATTTTGTGTACAATCAAGAGCTTGTGTCTTCCAGCAACTTGCTTTCTTCTCTTACAGCATTTGTTACTCTGCAGAATGGAGAGCAGGCTCAAAATGCAATTAGGATGTTTCACCGATACTCTCTTCGTGGAAAAGAAATATCAGTGCAGCTCCAGCCAACAGATGCTTTATTGTGCATTACCAATTTGCCTACTTCATTTACGTTACAAGAGTTTGAGGAACTAGTGTGTGCATATGGCAATATAGAGAGATGTTTTCTGGTCTATAATGAAGTTACTGGCCTTTCCAAGGGCTACGGGTTTGTGGAGTACATGAAAAAGGACTCTGCTGCAAAGGCCAGAATGGAACTTCTGGGGAAGAAATTATGTGAAAACACCCTCTTTGCACAGTGGACAGATGTTAATCAGTTGACTACTGATCTTGTTCATTCTAAGTGCCTTTGTGTAGATAAAATCCCTAATGACTACACTGATTCAGAAGAACTAATGCAAATGTTCTCATTTAAATATAAACCTGTGTTCTGCCAGGTAGGTATCCTATGAATTGGTGTCTTTTGCAAGCTGAATATGAAGATGTATATAGCATTATGTTAACAGATTCTATTGCTTGCTTTGTTTTTATGTAAACCAGTGAGTGGCTTAATTTATGAAACCTAGTGACTAATTATATGTAAGCAATATAATATCTGATATAAATGTTTGATTGACATGAGTTTGGAGTCACTGGCATATGTCAGTGGAGAATTATGCAGGAAGACATCCCAAATGAATGCTAATAATACATTTATTATACATTCTTTTCCCATGTATTTTATGGAAGGATTATTTCAGAAATGTTTAAAAGAATTTTGTAAATAATTGATATTAGTAATATTTTATGTATTCCTCAATCATATATTCAGATTGTATTCGTATTTTGAGTCTAATTGTAGATCAGCTAGAGAGATTAAAATACATTTAATACATCTTTGAAACCTCTAAAAATGTCTAAAATAGTTCTTCCATAAGTCATAAAGTTATATCTTCAGAACCTAATAATTTCTGAGGTGCCAGCACAAGAAATAAGGGCTATATTTGGAAAAGTGAGTCTTAAAACTATCCAGTTGCATAAAAGATTTCTTGCTAGCACTGATGATTGCCAAGATATTGGAACCTAAACTAGCCATTGGTCCAGGACTTATAATTTTTTATTAAACAACTAAGACTAGTGTAACTAGGAAGGGAAGCAAAAAAAACCACCTTCGCTGAAGTCATGGGTGATTGTGGATGTTTGTTTATTTTTAAATGTTTGTTGAAAAGTTGCTCAAAGATTTGTATTGCTAATGTTCTTAGTGGTGGTGATGGATTAATGAGCAGAGTCATTCCTAGAGTATAAAGCTAGAAGGGACCTTTAGACGATCTAGTCTCACCTGTATATCAAAGGCTATTAGATTTCATCCCGTTGCCCTGAATTGAGCCCAATAACCTGGATTTGACTAAAGGCATCGAGTCTTGATTTGAAGATATCAAGAGATGGGGAGTCCACCACTTCCCTTAGTGATTTGTTCCAATGGTTCATACCTATCATTAACAATTTGTGCCCAACTTATAATTTGAATTTGTCTGGTTTCAGCCTGGTTCTTATTTTGCTTTTCTCCAAATAAGCTGTTTTTCTCCATGTGAAGGTTCTGATACACTAATCAATTCACTTCTCACTTTTCTTTTTGATAAGCTAAAGAGTTTGATTTAGTAAGTCTCCCATTATAGGGCATTTTCTCCAACCCTTGATAACTTTTGTGTCTCTTTTAACTACCCTCTCTAATTTTTCAACATCTGTTTTAAAATGTGGATACCAAAGCTATTCCTCTGTTTCTGTCTTCAAGCATCCCATTAACTCTTTTTGCCATGCCATTACAATGGGAGCTCATGTTTAATTACTTGTCCACTATTACCTCCTAATCCTTTTCGGAGTCACTGCTTTCCAGGATATGGGCCTTCATTCTGTAGGTATGACCTGCAGTTCTCGTTCCTTGTTTGGTAACTTTGAATTTGGCTGTATTTTGTTTGAATGGTTTCAGGTTGCTGCATGACCAAGATAGCTCTGAATGACTGCCTTATCTTCATCTTCATTTACCATTTTATCAGTCTGTGTGTCATCTGTAAATTCTCACCAGTGATTTTATATTTACTTCCTATTTATTTTATATTTATATCATTCTTGAAAGTGCTCAACAACATTAAGCCTAGGACTAATCTCTGCCAACAGAAACACCACCATTCAGAGATAATTCCTCATGGACACCTACTTTGATATTTGTCAGTTAACCAGTTCTTCATCCATTTAATTTATGCTCCGATGATATTGTATAGTGCTAATTTTTAAATCATAATATCATTTAGTACTAAGTCAAATGTCTTATAAAAGTTTTGTTGTATCTGTGCCATTGCCTTTTTCAGTCAAACTTGTAATCTCATGAAAGAATGAAATTAGAGTTGTTTGACAAGACCTATTTTCCATAAAATCATGTTGCCTATACAATTTCAGGTAGTTAAAAGTACATTTTTGAACCTTTAATTGCAATGATAAATGGATGTTTTGTTGTATTATGGATATTGATTACATCCATGAGTATAATGGCAGAATCATGTGATACAGGTTGAACCTCTCTAGTCCAGCAGTCTCTGGTCTGGCAACAACCGTGGTCCAGCAAAATTTTAGACAGAAGTCCACTTATTAAGGGTGTGGCTGTTTTCCACGATCCCATAAAGTTTGTTTACAGCTACCAGTCCTTTCTTGCGGTGTTCTGTGCTGTTCTTTAGCTCTAATTTGCCCCCTACATGTCTTTTAAGAATCCAGTAAGCAGTGAAAATATTGGTAATGCTGCTAGACAATATTGACCTCCCATAGTTCAGCATCAGTCAGGTCCCAAGGATGTCAGACTAGAGAGGTTCAACCTGTATTTTTCTGTAAATTCTGTGACCTATACATAATATAAATTCTGTGGCTATGTGGACATGGGGAAGTCAGTGGATGTGATATACCTTGACTTTAGCAAAGCTTTTGATACGACCTCCCACAATATTCTTGCCAGCAAGTTAAGGAAGTATGGATTGGATAAATGGACGGTAAGGTGGACAGAAAGCTGGCTAGATTGTTGGGCCCAATGGGTAGTGATCAATGGCTCGATAGCTGATTGGCGGTCGGTTTCAAGTGGAGTGCCCCAAGGGATCGGTTGTAGGGCTGGTTTTATTCAACGTTTTAATTAATGACCTGAATGAGGGGATGGATTGCACCCTCAGCAAGTTTGCGGATGACACTAAGATACTTTGGAGGGCAGGGACAGGATCCAGAGTGACCTACACAGATTAGACGATTGGGCCAAAAGAAATCTGATGAGGGTCAACAAGGACAAGTACAGAGTCCTGCACTTGGGATGGAAGAATCCAAAACATTGTTACCTGCTGGGGACTGACTGGCTAGATAGCAGTTCAGCAGAAAGGGACCTGGAGATTACAGTGGATGAGAAGCTGGATATGAATCAACAGTGTGTGCTTGTATCCAAGACGAGTAGGAGGAACATTACCAGCAGATCTAGAGAAGTGATTATTCCCCTTTATTCAAAACTGGTGAGGCCACATCTAGAGTATTGCATCTAGTTCTAGGCCCTCCACTACAGAAGGGATGTGGAGAGGGTCCAGTGGAGGGCAACAAAAATGATTTGGGGGCTGGAGCACATGCCCTATGAGGAGAGACTGAGGGATTTGGGCTTATTTAGTCTGCAGAAGAGAAGAGTGAGGGGGGATTTGATAGCAGCCTTCAACTTCCTGAAGGGAGGTTCCAAAGAGGATGGAAAGAGGCTGTTCTCAGTACTGACAGATGGCAGAACAAGAAGCAATGGTCTCAAGTTACAGTGGGAGAGATCTAGGTTGGATATTAGCAAAACTATTTCACTGGGCGGGTGGTGAAGTACTGGAATGGGTTACCTAGGGAGAGATGGAATCTCCATCCCAAGAGGTTTTTAAGTCTCAGCTTGACAAAGCTCTGACTGAGATGATTTAGTTTGGATTGGTCCTACTTTGGGCTGGGGGCTGGACTCGATGACCTCCTGAGGTCTCTTCCAGCTCTATGATTCTAAAACATTATGATAAAACATGTAATTTAGCCATTTCAGACTCATGCCAGGAAAGTCTTTATAACACACTTTCATGTATTCTCTCATTTATTAATAATCATAGAGCATACTTTTATATTACAATACTACCTAGTCATAGACCAGGATCCCACTGTACTAAGCACTGTGCAAAAGACAGTCTGTACTAGGGTTTTAGGGCTGAATTTAAAGGTATTTAGGTAACTAGCTCATGCAAATCAAAGGGTGTTACATGTTGACATATTTTTGAAAATTTGGCCTTTGTAATCTAAGTATATAATACTAGACAACAAACAGATACAGGCAGTATAGGCAGACTGTTGAATATAAGGAAACACTGAGGCAGTATTGGTCAGTATGATCAGCAGAGGTCTCAGCACATCAGCAGCCTAGCCAAGATTTTTATACACATCATGAAAAAAGGTGATATTTAAGGAGGAAAATGGACTAGCTGTTAAGATGTTTACTAGGAACGCCTCCCATGTGTGTGGGCAGCATGGGAGAAAGCACATAGGGGCGAGGCAGGATGGCTCAGTGTTTTGAGCATTGGCCTGCTAAACCCAGGGTTGTGAGTTCAATCCTTGAGGGGACCATTTAGAGATCTGAGGCAAACCTGTCAGGGATGGTACTTGGTCCTGCTGTGAGGGTAGGAGACTGGACTTGATGACCTTTCAAGGTCCCTTCTACTTCTATAAGGGTATGTCTACACTACCCCACTAGTTCAAACTAGCGGGATAATGTAGGCATACTGCACTTGCAAATGAAGCCCGGGATTTGAATTTCCCGGGCTTCATTTGCATAAGCTGGGTGCCGCCATTTTTAAATCCCAGCTAGTTCGAACCCCGTGCCACGCGGCTACACGCGGCACGGAGTAACTAGTTCGGATTAGGCTTCTAATCCGAACTAGCTGTACTCTTCGTGGAATGAGGTCCACCCTTAGAGAATAATTGAGAGGTCAACCTATGCACCCCTCAGGGTTCAGGATCA